AAGAACCCTTAGAAGAACAATGAGACAGTGGAACGAATCTCAATCCAATCTACCAAACAATTACTACACTTTAATGATTATTTTCCGTCCCCCGAGAATGTGACGCCCTGAAGGAGGACACCAAACTATGAGATCCTCCGCCGAGTGTCATTTATCTCCTTGGCCTTCCTCCTCTCAGTTCAATTTGCCGCCGAGAAAATTGAAAAGCAACTGATGATATATTTTTCAAACCTCAAGCCAGCTGACGAGAATTAATTCCATTCTCACATAAGAGGTTTTGCGGCACAATTTCATGGTTTCTGGTAAATCCTCTTTGCAAGTGTGCAGTTTTCTTAGAGAAAATACGCTTCACAATTCCTACACAATTCGCAGTTTGTGCGCAATTGGTTGCTGTTGTGACAGATTACTTTTATATTAAAACCACTGGCTGGGTCAGTTGGGCTTCATCTTGAAGTGTAATTTGAGAAAATTGGTCATGGTGATTGATTTCCCATAGTAAATCATCAAATTGTCTCGTGGCGCGAGATTGAAATGTTTGAGTGCATTTTGAATCAATCACATGGAAACACCGCACTGAAAGATTGGTAGAAACTGTGAAAAATTCCGGTCAAATGAGAAAGGGAAAATTATGTCACATTGTCATTAGAAGTGCATTTCCAACGCCGCATAGTTTGAGGAAATTGTGCAACTGAGTGTGGCAAGAAAGTCGCGTTGCAGCACTAATTCTCTTTTCGAACATATGCAGTTTTTGCATATAGCCGTGTGAAGTGACAAATCCCCTCCTTGTGTTATTGCTAATCCTTGGGCTCAGCTTGCTTCAAGTGTCGAGACAGTATCTTGTACGAAATGGCATGGAAAAAAGTCCCCTCGCAGTTGCAGTGAATTTCCGGCTGAATGACTAAAGTTGTGACAACAAATACACTCAATAAAAGTCACTCCGAGTGACATTTATTCACTCCTATCCGTCCATAAATTTAATTGGCTCACTGCTACGTGAATAAATTGCAAAATGTGCAATATTCATGCTCCCCTGTGGTGTCCCCTTTTTTACGATCACAGATTTCTCCTGCGCTCTCCGGGCGTCCACGGAAAAACTGATAAGAAATTCATGCAAAATGCACTCGCAATCAGATTGAGACATTCCTGCCTTCCACGCCGCAAGTCAACTCTCGTCCAAGGAGGAAGTTTTCTTTGGACATTGCCTGGCCTGCTTTTTCCCCGGGTTGCTTTAGGGAAAAGTCATGGCATGGAGCAGATGGTGGAAAAAACACTTTACCTTCTCTTCTGGAGATAAAATTTATTGCTGACATTGTTTCTTGCACGGAACTTGAGCCAGAGACAGCACAGTCTTGAAGATTTTTTCCTTCCCACTCGCCACCCTTCTTCATTTTAATCTCTCCACCATTTCTTCTGCCGGCCCCGACTTTGTACAATGCAGTGGACAGTTGAATGGTGTTTTCAGTCGAGGAGAGGAAGCTTGTTGGGTGGAAAATGTGAAAATTAAATTTCCATATTCATTGCATTTGTTAGAGTGATGCCACGTCGTGAGGGTGGAAGGCACTTTTGCGAAGCAAGAAAAAGACCAGAACAAGGGGAAGATCATTTAAATTTCTGCCAGTGGGCATCACACACGGAGAATATGAGAATATTCTTTAGGGTAAATACAATTTTAATAATTGACGAAGGGTGAATGGCCACAAGAATGAGAACTACATACCGTATACCCTCAAAATTCACCCATCCATGAGAAGTATTGATCCCGATTACAGCCCTTAGCGCTCCGGGGATGGGACGACCTCGTGATCTGCCTGAGACGGCTCGGACGTGACTCCGTGCTGCCTGGGAGAAAGCGGCAAGAAGGAAAAGTTATGTGGCTTCCCATGAGGGAAACTTTATCACGGACATGTGTACACTACACTCTATCTTGCCTAATCCCCTATCAAGGCAATGGGAGGTGCGTTTATTGCCTACCTATTGTTAGGCTAAAGACTTTCCAAACTTTCCCGTGTAGTTTAGCCATAGTAAGGCTATCGAAGCTGCCTCTAGAGTAGACTAGACTCCATTCAAGATAAGCCTAGAAGCAGCTGAGAGTTCTCTTTAGGCATTTTCCGAACTGGAAATTCTAAAAATCGCGAAATATAAAGATTTCGTACATCTCTTGCGATAGCAACACTACCCTTGACGCTTGTGATAAAACTTCTGTGACTGTATATCTTGTCTCTCGCAGGATAATACTCCACCAGAATATTTTAATATCACACATTTCTTGGAAAACGTCAAGATTTCTCGAGCACACAATGTGGGGCGGAGGTATTTTTGAAGAATTTCCAATTGAACAATCAACAACACCACCAGTAAGACTGCCATGAGCAATGATGTGGAAATAACCCAGGCAGTTGCAGAGATGTATCATTCTACCAAATCACCCCCAATATATCGCCTGGTTTCGGTGGGCGGAGTGTTTAATGATTCAGAACTAGATGAGCATTGATTTGACTTGTGTGCTCTCCATTGGAAGAATTTATGTCCTTATCCTGAGGGGATGTTGGAGAGCTAATGGGATAAGAGCGGCTCATTGAGGAGGATTTGTGCCAAGAATATCGCAATATTTTTTTGCATTCTCTGTCGGAATGTGGGTCACATGCTGGAATGATCTGGTAAAAGTGCTCATTGTTGTCTTGTAATGAAAAGTCAATTGATAAACTTTCTCCATTCTGTTCTCTCTCTCTATCTCTCTTTCAACTCTCATAACAAATTTAATGTAGCTACATAAATCGCATACATTTCTACTGATCCTGTTTACACGATATTAAAACTGTTCGTTACATTTTCCACGAATTCATAATTTGTTGTCAATCGTGAGTGACTATGATTTCATGATGTAAAATGTAATTCTGTCACATGCACCCAATTAAGTATTTTGAGCCTCACCTCTGACACTCTCAAATGTGCGAGAGTTCAGTGATGTAGTGGCATTGCCGAAAGTTCCCGTCAATGCCCTGTGGAACTTTTACTACACCACTGTCATGGAGAGGGCGGACACAAGTGCCGCACATAAACAGATTTCTGTGGCCACTGAGGGTTAAGAAAGTGGGTGAATAATTGAAGAAGTTAAGCACAATTTCCTCATTCACTGGCCTTACAATGCATCACCACAACCCCATATACATGTATTTGCTTCCCCTATTAAAATTGGATTCCATACGCTTAATTGTGTCTCTTTCCATGTATTTTTCTCGAGGGGGTTGACAAGCCAATAGCAGTGATAAATTCCTCTGCAAATATCATGTAACTTTCTACAATGAAATGCATGAGAGATTGTTATGCTGTCTATCAAAATACCATGAAAAATGCACATAATTGTCATGTCACTGCAAATACGTAGTAATTATCCCCTTTCACCGAAAACTGCTTCTCAACTTCACAGCAAATTCACCCGTCTTTTGTCTATCTTTTATGGCTTGAAAGCCACACTGGAACACATTTTAAAGTCTCCGCATTCACTGGCTTCACTCAGGGACCAAAACCACGTGAAATGTGGTTTGGTAAACCGAATTTCTTCCATGTCTTTCACCGAGACTACGGAAATCCCTCGTCTGCAAACTAATCGCATGGAAGACGCTCGATGGTGTGGGAAGGTGAGGATGGTGTCTTATCGTGCCAGTCGTAAAATGATTCCTTCACCCAGGAGCTTCTCAATGGTCTCAACAAGTTGAACTTTGCGAATTTGTATACAAGAGCACACAGATGAATATCACTTGATGCACTCCCACAGTTGCCGATGCGATAAATCAGTGAATGTGAGTGTTATGGGTGATTTTGCACGACACAATTAGACTGAGTGATGCGCGCAGTAATGATGAAAGCCTACACCCGGTGCTCACATGTGAATGATGCTTAATAATATAAGCCAATTAAAATTTCCCACGGTTGAAATGTCAACGGAATTGTGTGCAGAAAACCGCACAATGCAGACATTTTTATTGCGAAAATATATATACAATATTTTTAATCCAATTTCTAAAAAAAAAAACACAACTCTCCGCTCAGTCATATTTTTTCCATTCATATGGGAAACAATATAAAAAAGGTATAAAGCTGGTAATGACTCCATTTCGCTGTGGACGTCAACCCCCTTTTAAGCCACTTCCATCTCTTAGGAGATTCATTAAAAAGTCTCAATTACAACTCCCTCAACTTCTTTGTTATGGCACCTGTGCGTGGGAAATTCTTCAGCGCCTTATTATTCAATTTATTGTGCGATTGTCTCGATATTTCCCTGAGAGATATTCTGGAATGGAAAAGCCGGGTGGGAAGTGTATGGAAATCCGTGCGGAGCTGTGGGAAAGTTGCATTATGGAAATGAGTAATTTATGTGCTTGTGGTGAAACTTTAACTGTTTTCAATCGCCACCGTATAATTTCTCTTTTGACACCAAATTTCCTGATAAACGCGAATGGCGCGGAGAAAAGTTACTCGGCCCTTGAGACCGCGCGCGCGAGAAGTTTGATTTAAAAGCGATGGAATAAGTACCTGTTTAACTTTTCGATTGCTATTCGGTCTTAAGGACGTTAATTCTTCACAAGCGGACTTTTTGGGGGAAATTACATGTTAGACTGAATTATTATAGGTCTTTTGTAAATCAAGATTCAACTTTGTATACCATCTTAAGTTGTTATTGAATTCTAAAACAAGTTTCTGGAATGGATTCTCTATAATTAAATGTAAATTTGGAGATATCTTTTGGGCTGAAATTTATTTAAAGACCAGGAAACACACCGAATAAGCGTTCAGTTTAGATTTTGGAGGTTGAGAATCACGATTAATATTATAATGACACATTTAAGTCCCATAAGCACTGAGAGAAAGTGCCTGATATACAATTTCATTCTAACATATATTATGTAGAAGCTCCAGAAATGCAATCATAATCCAGGAAGCGGCGGAAATCCCAGAATCTCACGTCTCTAATCAATTGCTTTCGCGTCTTCTATTTCCAGCTTATGCTGCTCTATGCGTTGTGGCTGGCGATGAGTCGCTGGATACCCGAGAGGGCGAAGACGTGACCCTCAAGTGTCGATTTAATGAGCAGCACTCCACCACTGAGTTCTCCTACTATTGGGCCCGATGGACGGTGGGCAACAAATTCGAGAATGTGGCTATTGGCAACATTCAATTGAACACCAATTACAGGTAAGCTCACACACGATTCTCTATGTTTATTCTCCTCTTCACGGAACGTCGCTCACGTGCAATTAAATTTGAGTCTCTCTCTCCATTGTTTGGGGTCTCTTTTTCTGCCTTCATGCAAGCCCAGCGTGGAGAAATTGGCGCTGAGGAAAAAGTGTCTTGTCATTGAACTTGATTTCGATTGAGATGCGTGAATGACTTCAACTAATTCCCAAAGAGAGCCTCTTTTTTCTCCTCGCACTGGGTCGATGGATGGAAAAAGCGTTGGCGTGTGTTTTTCTCACACTCAAACTGAGATTTTCTTGTCCATGAGGAAGTCAGTCAAGTGAATAGTTTTGCTATACCATTGCCAAATGTCCCCGCGCAGTTGACCGATGAAGCAAGTAATGAAGCTCCAACGCAGACTTTCTCCATGCGTGGCGCCCTTTTTGTGACCCAAGAGAGAATCAGAAATTTCTTGCCGAGAGAAATTGCCTCGAATCAGCAGTATGATGGCATTTTTTGACAAATTAACCCATAATTGAATAATAATCACCGATTAAAAACATCTCACCCCAGGCAATTCGCCACCCACCCAATTTTTCCCCCTATATATATAGACGGGAAATTGGGCAGACAAAAAACGCCACAGAGAGTCATCGTTTCCCAATGGCAAATAAATATTGTATTAAAGTGAATTATAGCCATTTGATTTTGATATAAAATAATTGGCGTTATTTTTTGCTCTCCCTCATTCTCTGGCTCTCCCCAGTCAGACAAGGGTTTCGGGTGGGCGAGTAAAAGCTCGCCCTCGAGCCAATAAAGCTCCGATCAGATTTCAATTCCAAACGATGGCAACGGGAGTCCTCTAATGGCATTGCCACCCCACTGTTGGGGTTCTTTTCATTGCCCTAAAATTCTACAAGTTATTTGCCGGGAATCGGATTGGTGACCCAGCGAAAAGACACCCCCGGGCTGCCCTTAATAAAACCAAGGTGATGAATATTTGCGGTGATTGACAATCTCGGGAGGGTGGATGAAAAGCGATTTGTTACCCATTGAAAAGCACAAGAAGTGGGGCTGGGAGTTGGCCACGAAAAGCTCTGTTGTTTGCCCAGAGCGTTGGCAGAACAAATAGGGTAGAAAAAGCAACAATAATAGCATTTCTTTTGGCGGTTATGCGGATTGTTTTATTGGCTCTCCTCGCTACTCTTTCTCGCATAAAATGAGATATCATTTTTTATATGCGCGTCTCATCCTCACAATCGTGGATGGTCGCTTTGGTGTTTTTCCTCCCTTTTCGCGCCTCCTTCTGGGGCGGCATAATTTTCATCATCGTTGAGTGTATAATCCTCATTTCGTATGAAAGATGAAGAGAATGGGGATTTTAGCAGCTCGAGTTGTGAGGGAATTCCGAAAATTCGCTGTGAGTTGAAGGGATAAGCTTGATCCCTATTGTGATCGCGTCTAGCAACTCTGTTGGCGTGAATGTAAAAGTCGAAGGAAAAATTGTGGACACCCCATTAAAACTGCTTTCCTCGGGAGTTAGAAAAAAAAGTACGCGGGCTGAGGAAAACAACCAAAGTGCCACCAATTAGTGAGAAAGAAGTTTACAGACTCTCAGAGAGTGTAAATCCATGCTGAAGGCGCTGGAAAAAAAGGGTGCGAGACCGAGTGGAAGAGCTTTGGAAAAAAGGGTTACAAATTCACCATTTACCATGATTTATTTCCAAGGGACACGATGGCGGGAAAAAAGCACGAGGAAATTGTACAGTGGGGAGTTTTATAAATAAGGAGATTGCTCACAGCAAATGGGACAAGACAAATGATTAAAAGAGTCCGATGGGAGGAATGAAAAGCACCCTGAAACGAGACCACATTTTGGCGAGAGATATTTCTCCCATATGCTACAACATATTTCGAATATTGAAGCACTATTTTGCAATAAATAACCTGAAATGTTATGAATATTCAATACAACTGGAGTTTTTCCGTAATATGAAAATGAACATCAAAAGTTCTCAATCATTTTAAAATGAACAAGAAAAAACCTGAAGCTAGAATAGAGAGTGAAGCAAATTAAATGCCAAAATATACTCATTTTGAAAATCTTGACAGCTTATTGACTGTTTGAACAATGTTTTTGGTGCACGTGTACAGACAATAAAAATAAATAAAATTTTAAGGAAGAAGAGAAATTTTATCACTGTTCATATATCACGACCGCAGTTGAATTTTCGTGGCTCAACTCGCTGCTTAAGAAGCTTTTAATAATGTAATTACACATCGGAATTGATTGTATTACATTCTATCATATCATATTTGTCACCATGGATTCTTCCTCGTTCAGCTTCACTCTTTTGAGCTTCCTTTGAAGTATTTTGAACGTAAATTCCATTTGGTACAGCAAATATCAGGGCGAATTCCAACCTTTCAGCTCTTTGTAATTAAGACTTTTGTGATACAATACTAATGACCGCCTTTCGACGCGCAGTGTGATCATACAAATAAGCGCAGTTCTCAAAATTAATAGAATATTTTCATAGTGATTTCTGCTAGAATATGGTTCCAAATGTGAATTTCTCGTCTGACTGGCAGACAGTCACCTGAAACAAGGTGCTTCTTCTAGCGCAGAATAAATTAGCACAAAGAAGTCACTGGAAGTGAAATGTGCCTCTGCCATTTAAATCATTTTGCGCCAAGAGGTCTGAGGCGAAATGTGAGGAGCATGATTTATAGTTATTTTTTGCCACGGCCATTCTCATCTGCATCCAGTTTGACTATGCGGAGTTCATGTTACTTTGCGTGCCACTCAACGTATCCGCTCGGTCGCCATCCAGTGACAAGAGAATCCGCACACACACCGAAAATGTAAATGAAGAACGTCGCGATTATTGCAAAATAGTTTTTGAAGCCACACGGAGAGTTGGCGGTGGTGGAAAAAGTGCTCGTGATTCATTGGTACTCTTAATCATTTCTCAACTACGTGTAATAACTATACTTCATTACCATTAATCAAGTCACGGCGCTCCACTTGCTGGGATGCTTTTTCGCCCATCGTCAGTGGCATGAGGCGAAGGGAGGACGTCTCGAATGCCCGCAACTCGATTAAATACATCACATCCATCTGATGGGGGTGTTTCGTATTTCTTGCGATCGACTGGCCTGCGGGTTTGGGGAGGACAATCATCCATCTAGTCACCCTGAGGGAGTGTGCTTTTTTCCACACCATCATTAATAACGGATATCCTGCCAATTAAGAGCAACCCGGATCACGAATCCTTCAGGCGACGACTGACTGGAGAGAATCTCAAGTAGCGGAAGTCTTAAGAAGCGAGAGATTCATGCCTAAAAACGTATTTTTTCGAATTTGAACTCGCTGCCATCGTTTTGTCCCCTCCACAAAGCCCTCCATCGCGCATTAAGCTCGGATGCTTTGAGGGCTTTATCAGCAAATGCCCTGAACTTGTTTTGCCATGCAAAAAGAGAGCGAAAGAGAGTGATTGACAAGCTGATAGCCTTCCATCCTCTCGTCGACTGAGCGATTATCCTCCGACAATCGCTCGCCAAAGTGCTTGATATAAAAAGAGACGCATGGAAAAATCGAGGAGAAATATTTTTCCACACGCCCGAGATTATTTTCAGAATTCAGATACACGTCGAGTGGAAAGAAAATTGCGCGCCGGTTGCTGGCCAAGTACTATTAAAAACCCATTCGTTCGAACTCATGAATATTTATAATTTGACAGAGGGAGAATTAAATGCACACTTTACTCACCAAACCATTCAATATTTTGGCCTTTTGATCGTGGCTTTTTGGGCAGGAAAAAAGTTTCATTTGGGTTTGTGCAAAGAGAAAGAAATAATTGCCTTTTCCCATTTGCCAATTAATTGGTCGACTCTCTTTTCATTCGCAATACTTTCAATTCGATTTCCAACAGCATGAGAAAATATTGATAATTTTGAATGACCAAAAATAAGCTCTAAATTAATTATGTACTTATCAAAGGATGGATTTACGCCCAAAAAAATTCGCAACTCTAACTCTCCCGCGTATTGAAATCATTGAACATTACTCACTGCCTCTTTCCAAAAACATACATTTTTTGCGAGTAAAGCGTAAAGTATTAATGTTCAATGAGAATTATAGCACGCACTATGCTTAATTCATCCTGATCCTAACTTAATTAACACAACATAAAATGATGGCGCTGCGGAAATTGGATTGCCGCGTTTTTCCCTCTGGTCAATCCAATTGACACTGACTCTCCATTTGCAGATTGGATTTCCGTCCAGATCGGGGCATTTACGATCTGCTCATCAAGAATGCCTCCTATAGTCGCGACAACGGGCGATTTGAGTGCCGCGTGAAGGCTGTGGGCACTGGAGCGGATGTCCATCAAGAGTACTACAATGTGACCGTATTGACGCCCCCGCAGCCGCCTCAAGTGGCGCCCGGAAATATTGCCATCGCCACGGAGGACAAGAAGCAGGAGCTGACATGCAGCAGCATCGGAGGATCGCCAGATCCAACAATAACGTGAGAATCTCTGGCAAAATGTACACTTTTGCAGGTCTAACCGATTCTTCCTCAGGTGGTATCGCGAGGGCAGCTCTCAGCCTCTGATGGAGGCCACCACGAATAGGGGCGGGTCAAAGGACCTGCAGACCACAAGCACTCTGGAAGTGAAGCCCAGGAGGGACGACGATGGCGTCACGTACAGGTGCGTGGTGTGGAACAGAGCCATGCCGGAAGGACAGCGCCTCGAGACAACAGTCACTCTCAGCGTCAACTGTGAGTACATTTTATCATCCTCCTGACAAATCCCTTTCATCTCTATGTCCCTCGAGATGAGCAGGGAAAGAGAGAGATGGTCTCTAGACAGTGCTGTGGGAGAATCTTTGCAATCCTCAGAGGGGTTTCCCGGGTTGTTTTGCGAGGATTATCTCTAGGAAATGATACAGGAAGGTGGGCGTTGTGATGAAATTTGTTCCTCCTGAGAAAATAATGACATAGAGAGATGAAGAACACTAAATACGTATTTACAGAGAATTTCCTATCCGGATAAAGAAATAAAGAGTATAATGAAAGTGACTACATTTTGCCAGGGTTATATTACATTTTAAGTATGCAGAAAATGCAGCTTTTCCGGATTTTCTCTTGAAACAGCTGAAAAGCTTTTATTTATTTCACTATTACATGCTTTCTAAGTGCCCCTTTCTGGGAAAATTAATGGAAAATTGTTACGAGATGATATTATTTCCATATTATGCTTTACTTATTGACGTATCAGGTTTATTTATTATTCATTTATCAGGAAAATAAATCAATTTCATTCTGAATTGCATTGGATAAATTTAAAGCTCTATCAATTTAGGCCATTTTAATTTATTTAATCTCGACGCGTACTTGAAAATTTTCATTCAACACGGCAAAACAATATTTTTCAATTCATTCTTTTCAATTGCATTGTCAACCAGTTATTTTTTTATCAACTCGCAGTAGAATGATAATTTTTCAAACATTAACTAAAAGTTAACATCAATTTTACTGCTTATGACAGCTTCATTAACTCTGTAGAAAAAAAGGACAGCAAACTTTTACAACATATAATTGTCATCCCCCATTTGAACACATGTCAGAACAAAGCTTCACAAGTGATTTTTTGCAACCTTGACTAACGTTGTAGAATGTTATCTCGGGAGGGTGAAGCATTTTCCCCTGTTTGACACATCATTCATATTTTCTCGGGAGCAAAATGTCTCATGACCGATAAACTTTCTTTTGTCATTTTCTTGGTGAGCCAGGAGAAATCGCCAGAGATTTCCTGCCCAATTCTCCTGGTGAGAATGTGTCCACGTGAATTGAATGCACAAGAGAGCAAAATATCGTGCAGTCAATTAAATTTTCGAGCACGGGAAGCACTTCTCAATGCCAAGTGGCTACTTTTATGTGCTCCGGAGGAAGCTCTAAATTCATATAATGCCCGGGTATCTCTTATCAAAATCACTGGGGCAATAAAACTCTTGCTCTCCGGACTGCACTTTGGGAAGTGCACAAAAGTATTGAGTTAAATCTCTGGGTGGATTGTGTGCGGTGTTTTTATTGTTGGCGCCTTCGCTTACCACACTTTTCAAGTTGGATGGGAAAAATCAGTGAAAAACATATACAACACCGTACGATGTAATTTGTGGCCAAAATGCGATCTCTAATGAGGTTGGAGAACGCACAAAAGGCGAATGAGAGTGAAAAAGAGGAAGTTATGAAAGAGAGTTTAATCAAGCGAACTATTGCAATTAAATATCGCGTTGGGAAATACTTCACAAATTGTAACGCTTTCGTTGGAAAGCTCCCCACTCGCGTCTGGTGAGCTTTTTTGTTCTTCAACAGTATGGACAGCGTCAAATTTATGAGAGGAAAAAACACTTTCTAAGCGTGTACGTTTCACCGTTTTGGCGAGAGATTTGAATAAAATAGAGGCGAGATTTGCCTGTCTTGCCGCGCGGTGTCTCTCTCTTTTTAGAAAGTCACACAAAGTGTGGCATTTTACATTTGAACAACACAAATGGAGCCAATGAATGACTGTAAAAATAGCAAGTAGCCAGTATAAATCGTGCTATTTTATGTCTAGTGCTTCAGGAGAAACTATATCACTTTGCTTCGATATTTCGATTGCTTTTTTTCTTGCGCTCTCTGGCACCAAGTCTCTAGCACTGAGAGAAAAATCCCGAAAGTGATTTTCAGTCTCTTCCGCTGTGCCTGGATTTTTCCTCTCAGTACAGCCCCAATCTCCTAAGCAGACCATGTGCTCAAGATTTTTCACCACCTCTTCCACCTCGATTTCCTCATGTTGAAATTTGTGGTTTAAATTGACTGCGGCTTTCAAGTGTAGTTTCTTTCGAATCGCCTGATGTCTGTGTGGCCTTTTTCTCGCCAGTCTCTCTCTCTCTGGTTAATGTTACAATAGCTTAATTGCATCGTATAGAAAGCGCTCGAGTTTCGCCTGTAAAAATCATGCGAGGTCCAATTGGAAACTTCTCAAGGATTTCCACACCCGCAAAGGCAAAGCCCATGAGCTCAGCATGCCACAAATTTCCGCCACACTCTATATCTGCCCATGTGATTGCATTTTGTGGACCATCACCTGTGAATATTTGATATGGCAATCTCATATCTGCCACCCGGAGTCAGTAAACACACTTGGAGAAAATTGACCGCATTTTCCATGGAGACGCATTTCAATTTCCGCACATCGACACAAATACGCCCCGGAGAAGTTCATCAGGCAACCAAATTCAATTCACAGGTCACCCAGGCTGTGAGTTATTGCAATCTGCTGGCTCGTGATTTGGTTGTTGCACATCCATCAGCATTGTTCAGTTGCTCGAGATTAGTGGGCGCATTTTTCAAGTACTCACACTCTCTATGGTGATTGGCCAAATGCGGACAGAGATTGAGTGGTGAGTTTACAGAGCGATGTTGTTCTGTATGCCAAAGAACCTCAATGGAGATTGATTAAAATGTCAGCATGAGTGCCAAAATGGTTGCTGCTTAAAGGGTTCATCCTCTCAATTTTGTGTGGGAGTTTTGCAGGCAAAATGTCATTAGCACAGCTTTGAATATTACACTCATTTATGAGATTTTCAATTTGCTTTAATAAATTATAACATGATTTATTTATAGAGTAATGTTTGGCATATTAAATAAAACACAAATTAAAAACAAACAGTTGATTAAATGCATTAATGCGCAAAAAGTGACAAAATTGTCAGGAAAGAACAGTAAAATTAAAAATAAACCAGAGATGTTTTCAATGCAATTTCATATAGAAGTTTTCTACGTGAAGCAATCAATAATGCCCCTGGTAAATGCAAATTCCACGAAGAACGGAATAGTGCGGTGATCATAACTGTCCCGTGAGCTTAATATCGACACATTTCCGCTCTGGAAAGATGCGCATGTGGAATAAAGCTCGTGTTTCATCTTGTTTGAAGACGATGACAACGCGTTGTCACCTTGGTAATTGATATTTCCAGTGTTGGCAGTCGTAACCCAATTATGACTTAATGACTGCACTTTATGTGCCTCAACAAAAGGCATTTGAGAGCCTTTTTTCACCTCGTTGAACACCTTTTGTCTCAATCATGTGGACTCATTTTCGCTGCTCTTGTTTCGGAAAAGCCATTCCTCGCATCGATGTTTAGCATAAAAAAGCGTGTTTGTGTCACACATTCAGTGAATTTCTTGTGCAAATCAAACTTCTCAACAATGGTGCTTTGATGTCTATCATAAGATCACAATGTGGCTCGCCTTGAAATCTGTATGGGTCTGTTTCTCACTACGCACCATCGTGACTGTTCTCACTCTCGAGTGTATGTCTTCTGGGCAATAATATTCTATCCATAAAGTGCTTTATTGAACACATGAGTGTGCGAGCTGTATAGATACCATTGCACAAAAGATCTCTTGTTAACCTTTGCGATGGTGAACCATTGCAGGCTTATGGTTGTGAATTCTTCTATCCATTGCTGCGTGGAGTGGAGTGGAGTGAGGGGCAAATGGTATTGATTCTGATGTGTACAGTGGTATTTTGCGAAAACTGTGTTGTTCGGTTAGTCATTTGGGACCAGAATCACCCTCAACACAGATAGTATTTTCCAGGGCACTTCAATTTCCAGTGCGTGCATAAGTTCTGAATATTATCTTTTACCATAAAATTTTCATGCCGTAGATAAAAACCCAACATTATGCCTGTGCATGGGACTGAAAACATAAATGTTGTCCTACATAGCCAATATAAACTCTAAAATGCACAATTATGTCAAGGGAAGAGCTCTGAAAACTAATTCACACACCTGATTGAATGCAAATTGGTGGTTACCTGAGGCCGAACGGAGTCAAGAATTTCCTCTCGACACCACAAACAACACTCAATGAGAGGTGGAATAAATCGCCTCAATCATCAATTTCCCAATCAGCGAAATTCAGCATTTCCCCGGTCAATTCATCAGCGTCATGCGAAAGTGAACTCAATAATTTCCAAATGGCTCCTCAGCCATATTTTATTAATAAATTAGTTTATTCTGTGCATCCGCGAGGCTGGCACAATTGAGCCTCTCTCGTCAAATATTGGTAATTTTGCGGCCATGTCAAATAATTAACCACCCAACTATTAATATGCACACATTCTACCTCTGGAATATTTTAACTATCGGCTGAGATACGCTGTGTTCTCCATAAATAATACATTTTCCACCGGCGAAACCGCACCTAATCCACATGGTGGAACGCTTCCCCTTTGATGGAGGCTCCCTCAGGATTTGCCATCGCCCGGAAATTCAATCTTGGCGCGTGAATTAAAATCATCACCGCCAAATTGACTTTCCCCAACATTGGGTGAATGTGTGTGGTTGCAAATTTGCTAAATTAACGGACTGCTTGCTTGAAAACTGCCTGTGATATAGAGTCATATCTGTGCTTATTAAAGCACTTTCTTACAAGTCTGGTTAAAGGCTCAATGTCCTCATACCTGAAGTGTGGCTATAGCCCTCAGAAGGAGCCCCGGTATATTGTAATTGGCTTACATAATCCCATTCCGAGTGGTAGGCATCCACAGAGAAGCATATCAGATGTCTTATGTAAGGTGTTGTACTGATTGGGTGGGTTGAAATAGAGCTTTTCTGCGAATTAAACTTGCGTGCCTGTGTATTTGTGTTTACACCCATGGCCATGGGGTGCTTAATCGCAAAGTCAAACAACCCCGGCGAATTCCCAGCCGAACTTTAAATCAAATT